AACAAGAAAGGTAAAGACCAATAACTGCACACTTGCACTCCAATAACCATTCGTAGACATTTCAATATGAATATTTTTAAATTCGGTTATAATTATACCAACATTTTTTTCCTTAAGATAATTTAGGGTTTCGAAACTAAAAAAGTATAATTGATCTATACAAGAAAATGCATAGAAATTTCTTCTCGATTATTCATGACGCAATAAATTGAAGCTATTACATCACGCAAGTTTTTGCAGAAAAATACATAAACGTACCTACTTCTAATGTATGAAATTAAATAGCAATAAAATTCTATCAATGGCGCAGGTGACGTACCAGGCTGACAACGACCGCGGGTTCCAAGCAGACGTGAGCTACAAGGGAGAGGCTCAGTACCCACCCAAGTCTGAGCATCCTCCCTTCGTGCTCAAACTTAGCAAGGACTACCACCAACCCTCCAAGGATCACCATCAACCCCCCAAGGATTACCAGCAACCTCCTAAGGATTACCATAGACCCTCTTAGGATTACCATCAACCCCGCAAGGATTACCATTAACCCCCAAGGATTAGCGTCAACCCTCTAAGCATTCCATCATCCCCTCAAGGGTTACCATCAACCCCCAAAGATTACCATCAACCCCCAAAGATTACCATCAACTCCCCAAAGATAAGAAAGAAGATGGAGATTTGGTTACACGATAATGGCCGACAATAAGTAAAACAAAGAAAAGTCCAAAAAACTACTATTGCATTTCACAATGGGCATACCAGGTGATCTTTTTATCAAGATCAAATAAGCACTAACATAAGACACAGTGAAACAAAGACTGATATGGACAATGAATGAACTGGATTTCTAGGCAATGAATTAGCTACACATCTTATGCTAACGCAGGAGTTTGTCACCACTTAATGAGACGACGCATGCTGCACGCTTGCGGGCGGAAGTAGAGCTAGGCGGATGGTTCTGAGAGAAGTCAGAGCGCTGTAAACCCTAAACTCCAATAGTTCAACTCGCGCGACGCGACAAATAACTTATTTAAAACTGATAATGATCATACAATCTACGTGTGTGGCATAATAATATTAATAATTGTGACAATAATTTCTTAACATAACCTATTTAAAATCGAACATAATTAATTGCTTGAAGATTCTCCCAAATGGATATGATGCATGACCTAATTTCGAATATTTTCTTGTTTAAAGGTGTTGAAGAATCTTGTCAAAAGAAGAGGAAACACAAAGCTACAGACCCACTGAAGAATTAGTGAAATTAACTTCCAAACGACTTCAGGAAGCGCATGATGATTTAGACAAAATCGCTGCAGCTTGGGCAGTCCAGCTACGGAAAATGGATCCCCAACAACAGTTGTTTGCAACCAGATGTACCTACTCAAAACCCTCCTCTTTCTTTATTACCATATTTTACTTCTATTACCATAAGTTTCTTTATTCTTTACCTAACCACACATCTCACAACGTGTTTCATTCGCTTTAGAAAAATCGGCAAAGTGCATGAAAATTAGTATCAAAGATATGAGCAGTGTTGTATAAAATTTGAAGTCAATCTGAAATCATTATTCGAAAATATGAACGAAAATGCTGAGAGGAATTTGGGCAGCTCAGCACGTATTTTTCAACGACAAATTGCGGGCGCTTCAGGAAGAGCTGCGACGTGTGTTGGGCGTCGTTTTGTAGCTGCTGATGTGACAAAGGGTTAGAAATAAACCCGAAACTGCTGTGATGCTTGGTTCGGACGTGATATCGAATCTGCCAAAGGAAGAAATTGACATTTTGACGGGCGTTTTCTCAGGCTAGGCGAATCTCTCCGGAAGGAAACAAAATCATTTTGTGAGCCTGTTTTGGAAGAATGCGCGTGCAAAGTTTGAGCCCGATCGTGACAGTTTTGGTTGAAATATGAGGAAAAAAGTGATATTGCCAAAATTTCGAAATAGACATTTTCACGCTCAAACCTACAGGATTTGTACGAATCACACACCAAAATTTTTGTCATCGCCGATTTGGTGAGTGTAGGAAGTTTGGTCGAAAATGGTCACGCCGTTTAGGAGCTATTAAGTAAAAAGTGAATTTTTCGCTAAAAAAATCTAAAAAATGCAGTGTTTTTTTGGCAAAAAAAGCATGAAGGCGACATTTTTTCGCAAAGTGACACGAGCTAAAAAAGCTTTGAAATTCATTTTTGACTTATAGTGGTGAGAGTTCCAGCGAGATCGGAGTTGCCGTTTTCGATCTGTGAGCGCGCGAACGAAAATTTTGACCCCACAGCGCCTCGATCGATTATATGAGAGAAAGTTGTGGGCACTACAGTGATAGTACGCGAAAGACGCGAATTAAAAACTCAGGGGGCCTGCGGCCCCCATTTTTTCTACTTTTACAACAGCAATGAAGGCTTTCAACGATATTCTTTTTGAGGATCAAATAAGAAACTTGACTCGCAATTCAGTGGAAATTAACGTTGCACGCAGTTCCACACCATTCATGGTACAATCCCTCCATTCTATACCCATCAATATCTCCTTTGCCTCAAAAATATACGAATTTTGTATACTACTTATAATATAATTGTATATATTAATTTAGTTCAATAATTATCAATTCATTAAGTAGTTTTTCGTGAGTGAACCTCTCTCTGTTAATAAACCTAGCACATCCCTCAGCACAAGAGCTATGTACATATCTCGCTACTTTTCAGTGAGACACTTTTTCCCGATTTCGTGATGGGATATGTTCTCCAAAAAATCTCACATATTTTTTTACCTAAAATAGTGGGATTTCCTCAATAAAAGGTTCTAACTAAAACGACAAAATTACTTACCTTAAAAAATGTTTTCTTTGAGGCAGCTGCTGAGAGCGGTGCAAGTTTCCATAACAATGTTAGCTACGGACTGCGGTGACACTGCAGTTAGAAATTTCAGATCTTCAAAGCTATTCCCAGTAGCTAGATAGCGGAGGGTTAAGGACAAACATTGAGTTGCAGGAATAGCATCGCGCATGAGAATGCTACTTTTACCGATCGCAGGAGTAATCAAAGCGAGGAGTTCGTCAAACAGTTCACCATCCATTCGTACAAGTTTCGGAAATAATTTAGTTCAATCATTCTCAATTCATTAAGTAATTTTTCGTGGGTGAACCTCTCTCTGTTAATAAACCACTGTTTCGACCATTTTGAACCGTTTTGCGAGCCTTCCCTTCTATTTTTTAAGACTGGATGACACAGCAATGATAACGCAGCACAAGTCATTATCGCTCAACATGTTGCGACATGAAAGTCTGGCTGGGACTGTTTGCGCAATATGGTTGCACGTCTCGGAGCGTGATTGCACAATATATTGCGCAACCCATCAATATGGCCCCTACACGCTCCGTGATATTGCGCAATCCAAAATATTGAACAATAATATTGAGCGTCAAGAGGCTGCCGTCAATATATTGTGCAAACCATATTGCGCAATAATATTGAGCGTCTAGGGGCTACTTTTGAGGAAATCTTTTCAAACCTTGCGCGTCAAATTCCGGATCCATTGCTCTAGTTTTTTTAGAAAAGGTAATTTAAATTTTTAATGCATTTATTTGATTCTACACGCCAAATTTTTAAATTTTATTACACGTTTTGATTGCAACTAGATAAAAAAATATATTGGTGACAAAAACCATGGTTGAACTAGTAGTATAAGGTTAACCCATGAGAATTATGCTCATCTTCGCGGATGGAGCTTTTTGTTCGCCTGTGACGTCACTGATCTCACTGACGTCACGGGCATTAACCAATCACCGAAATGCGATCAAACCAGTCAACTAATCCGTCATGGGAATGACGGGTTTGTTTACGTTTCTCGATCTCAGTGATGCAACAAGAAAGCTGAACTGAAAGGCTCAACTTCTCGTGGGTCAACCTTATATAGTTCATCCAAGACAAAAACTACCACAAAAACTACAAATGATGTATCCATAGCATGTGATATTTTTTCTGACATAACGTATCGAAATGACTGACGGATTTTGAAACAAATATAAAGTTTGTATATTTTCGGTTGATTACGTTTGAAATGGTGAGCTTGTTGAGATATAAGTGGTTGTGAATATATATATATATATATATGTTAAGTTCAACCTTCAAGTTTCAAAGCCTATGGGGATTTTATAACTCGCATGAACTTTTCCTCGATCTCTATTTTGACCTCGACAATGTACTTCTCAGGATCAATCCGAGAACATAATTTCTCTCGGTTGAGTTTTAATAAACTTGTCTAATGTCAGGTTGGTCTGCAGATTTTCGATTGCCGAGTGGTTAAACCAGGACACGTAGAGGTTCTCTAATCTGAATCAATGGCGAATTGACAAGGGAGGATAGTGAACGACACGTGAAAGATTTCAAAACTTATATACTTAAGGAATTAAACTATCCCAATCTAGAACTGTGACATGCTGATACGATTCCAAACGTCCTATATTACAGAGAAGAAATCCTATCCTATTACAGAACTGGGCTCGGTGAAAGTGACGAGCACACAGGGAGCCCAGCACAGACCTCAGTATTTTGACACGGCACTGACTAGCACCCGGTAACAAGCCCTTAAACCCTGACACCGGCCTATTAGTAATACAATTCTAAAGCAAAATGACAGCACTGTCTCCCTTTATCCCTAACGGGTACATCACCGGCTATGGGAGGGGAGCAGTGCAGCAGTTAGTCTTCGGACAGTCCTGTGGCCTCTCGCAGGTTGGGATTATTCTTTTCCGGTCTGATCCCTTGAGAACGGCGGTGCTGCGGCGCCTTCCAAATCCAAAGAATCAAGTTCGTGACTGGTTCGCAGCCGGCTGGTTGCTTCTTGAACACTCTTGGGAATCAGTTGTGGTGAGAATCGACGTCCGGCTGGTTGCTTCTTGAACACTCGTAGGAATTTAACTCATTTATCAGCGTTCCAATGGTGATTTTTGGCTGGCGTGGCCACCCACCGTTACGCCACCTATAATCTACCATCGCCACCTATAATCATCGATGCGCCGCCTTTAATTTTGATTTGGGTCCCATCGGACTCGTAGCCGCTCCTCCGGCGTTATAAAGTAAACCTATACGATAAGACCATAGATTTCATTCCACCCAGAATCGAGATATTACAATGCCGTCGAACGGTGAACTTCTAACACATATTTAACTTGATCGCCATGAACTGAGTTTCATAAATAACAATCCAAATTTTTTACTCGGACGAATAGGATAACACACACAGTCGTCATCTGTTAGTCATTTGTTCAAGTTACTGCATGAAAAAGAAACATCAGTTTTGCAATAGGCTAAATTGTAAAATACATGGTGCGCGTATATTCTTATAAATGTCTCCTTTGAAAGGAACTTTTGAATGTTTCAATAATGCACACCATTCCAGCGGAAACTCAACATAAAACCTCACTTTAATAAATTTAATATTCATATTCATGAACCTAAATGTAACCGTCATTCTATTCGTATATCGCTTCTTATCTATTCATCACGAAAGTGCTCAAGGACACGATATCACACATATAAATTAATTAGTCATATCGTTCAAATAGTGACCCACTTCGTTACCAACAGAACCAGCAGAGAGCGGACGTTGCACTGATAAGGTCTTTCGCTGGACCAAACTGGGTCAGGATGACCCACACAAGTGTATCGCTATTTGATAAGTTTCACTCGTTTACCTGAGTATAGGTTTGCCAATAGGGAATATTTGCAAAGTTCATGTGACATCATTTGAAAATAAATTCTTAGGTGGCCACGAACAAACTAAATCTTGAACTTGTAATCGCAAGCCGACCCCTAAGTCAAGTGGTGCTCCACACGTGCCATTGTGTCGATATATATGCGCTAGATATTTAATCATAACTTTAAATATCCCTACACTATCGGTGTGACCCGAAACCAAACATCCCTATACCGCCGGTGTGACCCAAACTCCAAACTTCACTGCACCATCGGAGTGGTCCAAACTCGAAACACCCCTCTTCTATTTTGACCCTACCCGAATTATATCCCGGATGTCCGGCCCCATAATGAATGTCCGAATGTCCCGCCCAATATTTTTCATTATTGAAAAATAATAACGAAAAGTTCAAGTATTGGCGGTAGGCCACATTATGCCTATTCTTTAGCGCCGACAGCACTATGTTATGTTATGTTAAGTTATTTTATAATCTACACTTACGCCTCCCTAATTTCGTCCCTGTCAATCGCACTCGCTAGTTTGCTGCCACTCTCGCCCGCAATTTTGTCGCCTCTCGCGTTCGAAATTTTGTCGGAACTCGCGGTCCAAATTTTATGCCCGTTTGCAGTCGCAAATTTATCACGGTTCTTATCACTTCCCAGTTGTAGTCCTTATCCTGCACACGGTAAGGTAAGAATCGGTGCAAGGCTTGTCTTCCAGCTGGCCGTTGTTGTTGATCTTGGCGCAGGGGTTGCTGCTGGAAGTCGGGTAGTTCTTCCAGAACGCTATGCCGGGGCTATAGGTTGAGTTCAGGTACTGCCACGTCCCGGATGATGACTTTCGTATCATTACCCACACATCATCTCTCACTGCAATGATCAGAATAATCATTGTGAATGGGGAGAAAACAAAGAAGGGGAGGACAGGGAGAAAGAAGCTAGAATTGGAAGAAGTTGTTTGTTACAAGCTGGAAGTATTTGGGCTTTATTCACCGTATTAATGTCATTATAACGATTCAAATAAGCCAATCATAATTATCATGTATAGGGCAACATGCAAGATACTCGACTGATGTTTACCACAAATCATGTAATCACCTGTGTGTGTTATTTTGTGTGCGCACACAAGCAAACTCACCTGTGTTCTTGATGTGGGTGCTCAGTGCTTGTTGTTCCTGGTCGTTGTCAGCTGAATACATCTCCGCTGAGTATTCGGTCATGCACCTTGTGCTTCCAGCAGTCCAATCGTATCTGCCTTGGGTGACGTAAATGCATCCCACGTTGAGTATCTGGGCGAAATTACTGCTGCATGTGGTCTTGGGCGTGATCGCTGTAAGTGAAAGAAATACGAGTCAGGTAAACGTATAGTTATTGTTGAATAATAGGTTTTAAAATAAAATAAATCAAGTATTTTTAAACTGAAATATGCGTGCGAGTTGAAATTGATGAAAAATGCACTGAGAACTAAAATCCAACGGGTCATTGTAAGAAAAACATGTTTAGGTCAAACAAACGATAATTAACTAACTGCACTATCAAGGATTAAGTAGATCATCGCTGTTTATTACGACGGATTAAGATTCCAGATCGTACGGTTATCGAAAACTACACTCAGAAAGTGACAAGCTACAGCATCTTGCATCAGCTGACCCTAATGAGGGCAAATATACGGAACACGTCCAACGTTACATCCAGGACCCGAGGTTGGGCGAACCGCCTAGCGACGACTCGGAGACGGAGGACGACAAAGGCGGCGCATCAGCGTGACCGGGGACTAGGAAGTCCTAAACTCGTCATAAGGTCAGTGTACCGGCTGCACTCATGGAGTGAGGAGATGAACTCTTGTGTGAGCGCTGAATTTATTTACATTAAGGCTTGTAGTCAAAATGCAGCGAAGTCTGAGAGCGAGGTTTTCGCGACCATCGTGTAAAATCCTTGATCTGCCCAAAGCTCGGCCAGTCGTTACCCTCGAGCTTGTACTCTTTGTAATATGATATCCTAGCCAGACCCTTCTTCGCGGCAACTGATCGCTTTCAGGTGGCCGAGGAATGGCCAACGGTCGGCCCGACCACTGGCCACGTATTATTCTTCGCCCCTCATTGACTCCGCCTTTACCATGCCACCCGTCGTGAGCTGACAGTTGAGTAATTTACGACGTCTCTTTCCCCTCAAACATTGCACAACGCCTCCATTTGAGCAGCTAGTATGCGGGATTTTCCCTCCGCGTATCAGCAGGCTCGATCATAACTATTTTTCGGTAGAAAATATCCACAACAAGGAGGCTGATCAAGGAATGCCGAGTATACCATTCAATGGAGAATAAAAATTACAACCCGTTAACATCTCGAAAAAAGTAAAAAAAAGTCGCAGACATGATGAACAATAATATTCAAAGTTTCTTGAAATTTTCTCTCATTAAACTCTTTTAATACAATTTTACATATTTTTTGTTACTGGTCGACGCTTATAAATAAATAGCTGGGTAAGTATGGAAAAATCCATATCGCCATCTCATTTGCGAGTGGAGTAAAGTCTATCCTAATTAGTGAAGAAACACTTAGGGAAGAGCCCAGCCTGTTCGAAGTCGAAGCCTCTCGGTTTTCAATCAGGGCCTTAATATCGTTAATGTACTTGACGAAACATTGACCTTACTGTCATGGTGGATAATGATGCCTAATCGAAGTCTACAAAATTGTTTAAAAAGGAAGTACCTTACTCCCGATACCGAGCACCAGACTCACACGCTAGGTTCAAACGCGACTAGGAGATTTCTGGATAGATAGAATTTTTCAAAATAGCAATGCAATTTTTGCCCTTGTGTGGGTCATCTCGACCCAGTTTGGCCTGGCTAAAGAGCGTATCAGTACTACGTCCGGTCTCTGCTTGGGCTATGGGTTGAAAAGTGTGAGATTTTGATAAATCCGTTCTACGGGCCAGAAGACGTTCATTATTTGTCCCATTAATTTTCTGAGTGATATCACCGCTATCAACTCACGGTCCGTGACGAAGCCGCCATCTTGGCAGGTTTCGGTTGTAGCGTCAGCGTTGAGTTGCTTCTCGCCGATGGCGGCCATGGATCCGTTGGTCCTGATGCAGCCTGACGAAATATTCATATTTATGTTGATGATTAACTTTGAAGTTCCTTCATTATTGTTTCAGTAAAAAGTATTAAAAAGTAATATATTATAGCGGTGTCAGCGTTATTGGGTCGTAGACCTGTCGCCGACTCTTAACATTGCAGAACATCCACAGCTTGTTGCGGGCTTTAACTCACAACTCACTGCTTCAAATTTTCTTTGCTTAACCGCCCGGCCTCCTTGCCGATTCTGACAAGAAACTGGCGCACAGAGCTGGGATCGAACCTGCACCTGTCTGCTCCAATCTTGGTACTCTGAACTTTAACCTCTGGGCATTAAGCAATTTTGATGCCTTCTTTAGCTGGAGAAAATGTGTCCTGTGTGAAACCAGCCGGCAATTGGGCCATAGCCGGAAGATGCATCGTGTTCCAACAGTTTCTGATCCAATTAATTCTAATATATATATTCAGGTAATTTTGTTTAGTTGCCTTGCATGTTCTCACTATTTTTATTCAATTGAAAGCGTGCCCCGGCTTATTTGATCAAATCAAAATTATCTTCTGGCCTATTTTTTATAGATTTTAATCAATACAGTTCCCGTAGTCGGTGCATATTCCATTCTATCCGTGGCAAAAGGCAAGCTGGTTTCACAATGTACATATTTTTCTGAATAAGGGCCAAAAAATTTTCCATAAAACCAAAATAAATGAATGAAAAAAGCTGAAAGATAATCACTAACATAATTATGAATTAGAGAGGGCCGGCTCTAAATTAACAAGCTTTCATATACAAGAAGAAGAGGTTCTCAAGCGCCTTATCGCTGTAAATCCAAACAAGTCATGTGGACTCTGTCTCTTATACACATCTAGATGTNCACTCTAGGGCAAAAAGTGATCGCTATTGAGAAAAAGCCTCACTAATTAGTTTGAGTGTACCTTTATATCTTATCTACGCTGAGAGGAAAGAGAGAGATATTGTCCAACTGGCCCATCGATATGCCCAAAAAGGGCATATCGATGTTACGTCCGCTCTCACTGCTCGTGGCGGTGGGTATGAAAGTGTATCACTATAAAGACAATATGACCCATTTATGAATGTAACATACATTATCTTACCCGTGTAGGAGCTGCTAATCTTGCAAGGGGTATGAGGCAGTGCCCCCGACCTGACGCCCTTGCCAACGGCGACGTGTTTAGCGCTCCAGAGCTGGCACTCTGGGCCCGATGTGGTGGTGGTGGTGAGGCAGGCCATCATGGGCCAAGAGAAGCCTATGGCCATCTCCACGCAGCGCACCCATGACTCGATTTTATACGAAGCTGGGTCAAGAGGCCGATTAATGGGAGTCAGGTTCGTGTTAGGTATGGAGCTTATAAATTATCTAATTTTTTTTAATTTTTTGAGTGCTTCTTAATTTCAAGTTTTACGCTCAATCTTCAAGATTTCTATGATTTTTCCAAGGAGGACTGTGGATAGTCCAAGACCTTAATCCGAAAATTTGGTGGCCAGTGAGTGCGGTAAGAAGTTTATTCAACACACATTAATCAAAATCTAATTACCATATTCAACATCACAGACTTGTCGTCATTGCTGTATGTTTAATCATTTCGTAAGTTTGTTCCTGGCGAGGAAGAATGTTAAAATTACCACATATAAATTCATTTTATCAAACCAACTCCATCGATAAGATTCTAGAGCTTTCACCCATAAAAATTGATGGGTCTGGGTGACCCACGCAAGCGTAACAGATGCATCGTCATTTGAACAATGACCCACACATTTCTCTGAGTATTCGGTTCTTGTAATATTAAGTTATCGCTAATTATTTCTCTAAATTTACATCTCAAACAAAATTTAAATGTGCGCATGGGCAGCAGGCGCCGCCCAAGACTCGGGGAGCGCGTAAACCAGCCGCTAAGGTCCGCTTCAGCTGAACTTGAAGTCCAGCCTCTAAGCAGCTTGCAAGCTCGGTATGATTCCACCATGCCAAACCCTTCTCTTTCTCACTGTCTCACAGGACATTATAATTATAATTAACTATTACATTCATTATTAATTTAATCGAGTTAGAAAGAAATTTTATAATAAATAAAAGTTAAATAAATAAATAAAATGTATTATAATATAAAAATTACTAACCGTTTTGAGCACCGGCTGACATCAAGGCCGTAAAGTTGACCGTCGCTGACATCCACTGCTGCTGCGGGTACCCACTGAGCTGCCAAGCGTGCAGCAGCAGCAGCAGCACCAGCACCCGAGACAGGTGATCCAAACGCATCATATATTCACCGTATTATTATTAAAAATATGAAAATCTGTGTGGTAGTCGTACGACACACATGACACAAATATGTTATTGTGTGTGGCACATGTACGTGTCGTGCCACACAAATCCAGCACAAACAACGTCTTTAAGATGGGTTTTTATAAAATTTACCAGTGACATAGTAGGTAGTATGGAATTTATTACTATAGATCATGAGTAGGATATTGTAAATCGAGAGTAGTACATTATAGATCAGGAGTAGGATATTATATATGATATCCTACTCTTGATGTCTAATATACTACTCCCGATCTATAATATCCTACTCCTGATCTATAATATCTTACTCCTGATGTCTAATATACTACTCCCGGTCTATAATATCCTACTCCCGGTCTTTAATATTCTACTCCCGATCTATAATATCCTAGTCCTGGTCTGTAGTATCGTACTCCCGATCTATAATATCCTACTTGTGATCTATAATGTGATGTCGTTCGTCACTCGCCAGATTCAGCGCACAAAGTTTTCCTATCCTTTTCTATTTTTTCTTAAAATCTTTACTCTCGGTGGCGTGCACTCAACAAATGCTTGGAAATAGCGGATGCCAACCCAATATGTTGGAATATCTCAGGTTGGGAACATGCCAACCCAACCCGAGAAGTAATGAATATATTCGATCACTGCAGACGAATGCTCGTCATGTACGGCAGATTCCATCATTACCGTAGTTTGTATACCGAAAAGATGCAGCAATAAATCTGAAAACTTGAACTTTAATCACGAATTTCTGCTGAAGCCAATAAATGGAGCTCTCCATCAACATCGTCGTTAACATCGGATTCTTGTAAAGTAGAGCTGAATTTTATCAAGTCCACGAAGTGTGTTTCTAATTAACTCGTGGATTGACTCGTCATTTCTTTTGAAGTCTTAATTGTGGGTGTGAAATTATTTTATCTGACCACTCTTAACTTGCACACCTGAAGATTTTAATGATCTTATTCAAGTTGAAAATGACTGATTGCATGATTATTTATCATTCTTATAATCAGGCCATAGTATTTTGAACTTGTCGGCAGTTTTTTTTATAAAAGTATTTTATTTTTATAAATTTTTTTGTTTTCATTTGTATATAAAAAATTGATAAACCGAAACAAAATTGTTTAGTGGGGCCTAATGACGCCAAAGTGCGAGTGTCCAACCTTTTGTATTTCTGACCTCCCAAGTCTTGTATTTAAAACTTTCCTAGAGCGGTTGAGAGTATCCTCACCAGAACGGCACTCAGCTTATATTGAAGAATAAAATTAGAAGAATGGCAACCTTAAACGCAAGCACGTACTGGTGCTGTTAATGTACATAGTTAGCTAACTACATAGTAGCGCCTGGATTTTTAATGTCGAAATCTTTGATCAATATACATTACTTCGGGGGCACATCAACGCGGTAACGGCGAAGCTAATTACTAAATTGCCTCAACCCTTCTAGGCAGGAAGCTCCGAAAT